TGTGTGGAAATGTTTTTCATGAGCATGCTGCTTCTTCAAAACCTTCCTACGCTCAAATGATTAAAAAACAACCAACAAGCAATTTAAAACAGCTAATAAAAACACTTCTCTGCAAACTTGCAACAAACTACACTTTAAATGAAATACTTATGGCTCTAGAAGATGCAGATCTTGATGAAGGAATTTCAGGAGCTTAATTGATTAGAAAAAACGCAATGTTGGAATTAACTTTTAAAGACCATATAAATGGAAATCTACTACATGAAAAGGGGCTAAGTATTAAAGGAGTATACCACCAGTTCTTTAGGTCAACTCCAACGAGATAAACTAGCAATCGTGTGACAGTGTCAATAATTGGCCTGCCACTGGAGTACGAGAACTTTCAAGTAGGAAGTGTCGTAGAGTCGTTTGGACACGGAAAGCATATATCATCTAGAACAATATACCGACTCATTTACCGACCCCAAAAAAAGGAACCAAATATTTTTCCGGAATACTAACCGCCGTAATGGAAAATATACCAGCAAAAATGCCCTCCAGCATAAAAATTGAAGGCCATTATGCAAGAGTAATCCACAATAGTTTGGACAAAACTACTCAGCCACAAAAAGAAAACTGCAGTGAAAAAGATACAGTTATATCCATAAATAAAACTAATGAAAAAGAAACATCAATTACTTTAACAGAAACGAACAATAAAATTGCATTACTAGAAGATAACAAACCGGAAAGTAAGTGTAAAACCAAAATGACGGACCAGAAATGAAAAAAGTATTTAATAAACCTCAAAACAAGATCAACAAAAGAATTAACCATATTCAAATGGATGAAGACCCTCAAGACAAATCAGAAATTGTCGATATAAATGTGGAAGACGGAAGTGAAGACTTGCAAGAACAGAAAAAGAATGATAAAAAAAGGAAAAATGATCCCGAAACAATAAAAATCTTAGATCATAAGAGATCCAATATAGAGATATTAAAAGAAAAAACTGATAGGCAAAACCCAGACGATGCCCTGAAAATCCAAAAGTAGAAAAAAAAAAAAATAAAAATAAGAATCTAAATAAAAAAAAAAAATTCACTAAAACCAAATAAAAAAAAAAATTTTTTAAAAAAAAAAAAAAATACCCAAGCATAACACCGTTATAGTAAAATGGATTTCAAAACTGTAACCCTCAATGTCAATGGACTGAACGACGATAAGAAAAGACATAAGTTAATGGTTTTCTTAAACTCAATAGAATCTGATATATGCTGCATACAAGAAACGCACTGTGAGAATGTAAAGGTTGTTAAATGGGCACAAGAATGGAAGAAAATCACTGGGGGCACGTCACTTTGGAATAATGGAAACAATAGGCAACGAGGCGTTGCTATACTATTCAGAAACAAATATGATTTTAAAGATACAACACAAGATAAACATGGAAAAACCCTCGCAACCACCATAACGATTGATAATATTACAGCTAGAATTATTAACGTCTATGGCCCAAATGACCCACAAAAGAGGGTGTATTTCTATAGCTCACTAGATAAACATGTAAAGACAACGGATATGCTTATTTTAGCAGGCGATTTCAACATGGTTGAAAACCCTCACATTGATAGAAAAGGTGGAGATCACCTAAACCCAAACAACACACTAGGGAAAACTAGTCTAAACATCCTTAAAGAAAAATATCAGCTAACTGACACGTATCGAAATGTTCATCCCAATAAGATGGAGTATACCTTTGAAAAACAAGATGGATCGTACAAGAGCAGAATAGACAGAATATACGCTACCTTAAACAAAGTGCTCTACATAAAATATAAAATAATTGACGAAAAACTTATTTACCATGAGGCTTATATCTGTCAATTCATTAGAAACAACGAAAACAAAAGAGGACCTGGTTATTGGCATCTGAATATAGACCTCCTAAACGACAAGAGTTTTATTGATGCCCTTGGAAAAGATTTTGATAAACAAAAAAAAAAAAAAAAACTAACTTACCAAAACATTAACCAATGGTGGGAAATAATTAAACACCGAATCAAAGCCATAGCAATAAAACAGCATCACGCAAACAAAAATATGTAAAAGAAAAAACAAAAATAATTGAACAGCAAATTCAAAATGAAACGCAAAACCACTTACTCAATCCAAATAAAGTAAAAGAACTCCAATCAGAACTAAAAAGGCCCAAGAACACCGGGGTCTTTATAAAAACAAAGCAAATAATTGTAGAAGAGGGCGATAAACCCTCAAAAACGCTTATACAAATGGAAAAAAATAACCAAAACAAAAAAACCATTAAGAGATAAAGAATGGGGAAACAACTAAAAAGGACACAGCCAACATCCTAAAAACAATAAGGTCCTTTTATCAATGTCTCTATAAAGACCCAAACATCGAAGCTGAAAAGCAAACAAATTTCTTGGAAAATATTAACGTAACACTAACAGAAGAACAAAAAGCCAACTTAAATGAAAAATTCACCAGTGTAGAACTCCAAAATGCAGCACACTCCCTCAACAAAGGGAAAACTCCTGGGATTGATGGAATACCTGCTGAATTTTATCAAGTATGCTGGAACATTTATGGAGACGAATTTACTGCACTTGCAAACGATAATACTTTTAACACAGAGAACGAAATGTCATGGTCTCAAAGAACTGCTCTTATAAGTCTTCTCCCAAAGGAAGGTGACTTAAGAGAACTGAAAAACTGGAGACCAATCTCGTTGCTTTGTGCTGATTATAAAATCATCACCAAAGCACTAGCCATCAAACTATCAAAATCCTTAAGCATTTTATTGGGACCATCCCAAACATGCACGGTCCCTGGTAGAAATATATTCACGAACCTTTTTCTCGTCAGAGATCACATACATTATACCAACGAAAAAAACCTAAAAAGCTTTCTACTTACGATAGACCAGGAGAAAGCTTTTGACAAAATTGACAGGAGTTTTATCCTTAAAGCCCTTGAAAGATACAATCTGGGGAAAACCTTTGTCAACGCCATAAGGCAACTTTTAAAAAAAATCAATCTACCATTCTAAATAACGGTTACATGAGCGAGCCATTTGAAATAAAAAGAGGAGTCCGCCCGGGTGACCCAATTTCACTAACGTTATGCTGTCTAGCGGTAGAAACCTTAGCAAATGAAATAAGATCAAACAAAAACATCGATGGAATCACGCTCCCGGGAACAAAAAACAACCTTAAGGTGATGCAATATGCAGATGATACTACAATCTTCATGACTGACCCGAAAGCAATAAACGAAACCTTTACTACACTTGATATGTTTAAGGAAGTATCAGGATCCAACATCAATAGATCCAAGACTAAAGCCTTTGCTTTAGGGGGTTTTAACTACCTTGAATATGGAAACACTTTTAAACTAACAAATCAAAAACACTTTAATCTAAACTGGTCCAATACAAATAACATCAAGATATTAGGTGTCCTTTTTAGCAATGACTTATATACACCGCCAGAGTAAATTGGACTAGGGCTCTCCAAAATTTTATAAAAAAAACAAAAGCTTTTAAATACAGAAACGTGTCTCTCAGGTGTAAAGCTATATTTCTAAACACTTTAGCACTATCAAAAATATGGTTTATAGCCAATCTCTTTCCAATAGATAAAACAACCTCTAAACAAATAAAAAAGGAAATATCTATGTATCTCTGGCAAAGTGAATTTGCATAGCCTATTAAAAGAGACATCCTCAATCTACCAACACAGAGAGGGGGACTGGGAATTCTCGACGTACAAAAACAGTGTCTCGCTTTAAGAATAAAACATATTTTCAACCTACAAGAAACTACGAAACCTCACTCTCTATATTACATTCAAAGCTACATACTATCGTATGCCCTAACGAACTTCGCTAAGTCTACACAGCCAGAATGGATCTTCTTAACAAGAAACCTAGCCCCAAAATCACTAAAAGAAATACCATACTACTACCAAGATATTATTGACACACTAAAAAAGGATAATAAAATCTTTAAAATCACTCCCAAAAAATCTAAAAACATATACAGACACTTATTGAACCCACACGAAAATGCAAACATAAAGAAAATTGAAACAACATGGGAAGCACACCTCGAAAGATCCCTGCCTTGACACAAAATATGGGAAAGAAATTTCAACTCTTTTGCTCAAGGACCATCAAAAAACACGCTATGGAGAATATATACAGACAGCTTGCAAACTCTTCAACAAACCAAAAGATGGCGCACAAATCGAGGAAGAGGAACAGAAAATTGCCAGAAATGCAACAAAACAGAAACAACGTTGCACCCTTTTATCTCGTGCACAACGGCAAGAAGTGTATAGAAGGCCTTTAAAAATATCTATGCAAAACTAACCCCAAATAAAAACTTTAACATCGTTCATACTGTATTCCAAATAAATTTAGAGGACGAACCAAAACACAGTAATGTTGCAAATATCAACACCACATTAACCAATATAATTACAACATAATTATGGAAAGCGAGAAACGAAACACTTAAAGAAAATAAAAGTATTACATCCGGAAAAATTATAGATAAAATTAAAAAGGAAATAAAATATTTATGCTACACATATATAACACACTACAACAAATTCAGAAGAGAAAACAATATCGAAGGTTTTCATAATGCTTTCTCAATCAATAACGCAATTAGTCAAACAAACATGGAAATACTAAAATTTAACATATAACCAAATTTTTAAATTTTATTCTTAAAAATAACTTCTCGAAATTATCGGATTTTCGTTTGTCGTCTTTTCTCGTTTTCAAATTCAGTCAATTATAAAAAAAAAAAAAAAAAAAAAAAAAAAAAAAGTTTTTTAAGTGTTTTAAGGTCACATCCAAGAGTTACCTTCTTAGCACCTGAAGACAAAAAAAGCAAATAAAAACAAATAACTAAACAAACAAAAAAAAATTGACAAAACAAAATAAAAATAGAAAATAGAAAAATAAAACCAAAAAATTTAAAATAAAATCTACCATCTAGGGCTTTGGACTGGGTAAGATAAAAAAAAAAAAAAAAATCTGTTCTTATCAGTTTAATATCTGGTACGCCGGCACAGTCCGGCTCATATATTAATCTGATTTTTAACATTAGGTCATGGGATCATAGGTTTACCTTGCCTGACCACGGGTTGCCTCGGCTTTGCACTACTGCTGAGCGCGGCCCAGAATGAAAATAATTGAAATATTTTGACTTTTAGAGTGTCTAACATCGCCGATGGTCTCAGTTGCTGCTGATGATGATGCTGCTGATGATGACGACGACAAAAATGATTTGACGTACTAATCCAAACCACAAGTACATTGTTAAAGACGGCGTCTGTCCGACTATGTCTGCAGTGGTCAGTGATTGCTTCTCGGCCTAATGGCTAAGATCAAGTGTAGTATCTGTTCTTGATTTTAGTCCATTTGGACGAGCTAAAGATCTTAACGTTTATAAAAGAAGGTCTACTGGCTTTCTGAGAGATTCTGTTTATTATTTTCGTTTTCTTTTGCTTCAAAGTCCTTTGTATGTTCAGCAACCATATATCTCAACCTTAAAAATCTTTTTAATTTAAAAAAAGTCACAACTAACAGTTACATTATAAGCACACTTTATAACATAAATTAAATTTCAAAAAGTAAAACCAAACAAAAATATAAAATTAACAAAACAAAAAAAAAACTATAAAAAAAAAAAAAAAAGTGTCTGTTCTTATCAGTTTAATATCTGGTACGCCGGCACAGTCCGACTCATATATTTCTCTTATTTTTGGCATTAGGTCATGGGATCATAGGTTTACCTTGCCCTGACCACGGGTTGCCTCGGCTTTGCACTACTGCTGAGCGCGGCCCAGAATGAAAATAATTGAAATATTTTGACTTTTAGAGTGTCTAACATCGCCGATGGTCTCAGTTGCTGCTGATGATGATGCTGCTAATGATGACGACAACAAAAAAGATTTGACGTACTAATGCAAACCACAAGTACATTGTTGAAGACGGCGTCTGTCCGGCTATCTCTGCAGTGGTCAATTATCGCTTCTCGGCCTTATGGCTAAGATCAAGAGGGGTACTCTTTTGGTTTATTAGCATTATGTGTGCAATCGAGCTAGTGGTTTTATAGAGATATTAGTGCGATTTGAATGATAAGGGTGTTTTAGAGTGGTTAAGAGTGTTTAAAGGTGCGTATTGAGAGTTTTAGTGATTGAGTGATTCTAGTACGTGTTTGAGATTTTAGTGTGTAACTCAAAGGCGTATGCCTTTATTATAAGAATAACTTTGTTAATTAAACAAGGAAAGTAAAATGTTAAGTTATGCTCAAGCAGCGTCAACTAAACAAGAGGTTCATATTAATCCAAACATTAGCATTGAGAATGTTTTAAGAGCAATGGAAAGTGAAAAATTTGATAAGGATCTTGAAGGTGCTCAGATTATAAGAGGCGGTAAAATGCTTGAGGTAGTAATGAAAAGTGAAACATCCAAATTAAGATTACTTGAAAAGGGTCTTGATATTAACGAATTTCATCATTGTTTTTTTAATTCAACGCCTGACAGGCATATAATTAATAGGACAACTGTTTCAATTATAGGACTACCTCTTGAAGCTAAAACATTTCAAATCGGAAAAGACCTTGAATATTTAGGTTTTGGTAAACATATAAAAACGAGGCCGGTATTGAAAAAAACACCACATAGTGGCTTAGAATACTGTTCAGGCATCTTAGTTGCCATTATGGAAAATCTTGAAAGACCAATACGAAAGAAAATTACCCTGAGGGGATACAGAGTGCGAGCAATTCACACAGGCCAGGAAAACCTTGGACAAAATGAACCTCCTCAAAATCCTGATATAAGTAAAACCCAGGAAATACAACCACAAACTGAGACACAAAGTCATCAAAACAAGCCTGAAAAAAGCAATACTGATCCAACAAATGATTCACAAAAAGTACAAGAAAAAGATAAGCAAACTCAAAATTCAAACAAAATACCAACTTCAATTGAAAATAATAATAATGGTATTGAAACACAAGATGAAATAACAAATAAAACACTAACAGAACAATCTAACATATTGCCACCCAATTCTTCCGAAAGTGAACCTGGCGACGAAAACTCTACGGAGCCCTCAGGTGATAAAAAGATCAAAAGAAAACCAGCTGCTCCTAAAGGAAAACTTCAAGAATCAAAGAGACCCACCAGAAAAGCGGAAGCTCATGAACCAGGTCTGCTCGGGAAATCATCTTCCTTAACATGAAATTAAAATAAACAAATTCAAAAATAAACATATAAATTCAAAATAGCAAAAAAATAAAAAATTAAAAAAACAAAAACGAAAATATAAAAGTAAAAAAACAAAATAAAAATATAAAACCTTAAAATAATTAATAAAAATACAAAACAAAAAAATAAAATAAAAATGGAGATCAAAATACTAGCGTTAAATGTCAATGGATTGAGAAACCAATCTAAACGGATAAACGTCATGACATATTTTTCGAGTTTAAACTATGATGTTTTTTGTCTACAAGAGGATATGATCTTATGGACAAAGGAATGGAATAAAATAACTGACGGTTCTGCAATTTGGAATAATGGAAATAAAAAAGTAAGAGGAGTAGCAATACTTACGAAAGCAGAATTTAAGTTTAACAAAATCTCGAAAGACAAATCGGGCAGAATCATTGCAGCTAGTTTTAAAATAAATCAAGTATTGTTTAGAATAATAAATATATATGCTCCCAACATCCCGCAAGAGAAAGAAAACTTCTTTGAGACCCTGAACAAGTATGATGTAGTTTGTGACTACATGTTCTTGGTGGGCGACTTTAACATGGTCAAAAACCCAACAATTGATAGAGAAGGTGGTGATCTTTTAAACAAAAATAACAGTCATGGTAAAATAAATCTAAAAGAATTTTGTGAAAAACACAAACTAGTTGATATATATAGAAGGTTATACCCCCAAAAGCGGGAGTATACTTACGAAAAGTCTGATATGACCTTTAAAAGTAGGATAGATCGACTATACGGCCCTAAATGTGAAGCGGAAAACAGCAAATCCTCAATAATAACTACGGGCTACAGTGACCACAAAGCTTTTGCATGTATATACAATACAAGTTACCATAGTAAAAAAGGTCCAGGATACTGGCATCTAAATGTTAATCTCCTAAATGATAAGCCTTTTGAAAAAATTCTTCAAGAAAGCTTTCATGTTTTCTCAGAAGAACCCCAAAAATATGAAAGTGAAAACCAATGGTGGGATATAACAAAAATTAACATTAAAGAGGCAGCAATTAACCGCTCAAGCACCTTAAAAAAAGAAAGCAAACAAAAAATAAAAATCATTGAAGAAAAAACTCTATATAAATTAAACAAGCCTGATCAAAACAAAGACAAAATTAAAAAACTAAAGTCAAAAAAAAGGTTATTGACAGATGAGACGGGTGTTTTTGTGAGAACCAAACAGACGATTGTAGACGATGGTGAGAAACCATCTAAACTTTTATTTCAATTTGAAAAAAATAATCAAAAAAGGAAAACCATTGTAGAACTAACCGATGGAAACATTATACACAGAGATATAGTAAATATTCAAGAAAGTCTCAGAAATTACTTTGAAACGTTATATAAAAAGGTAGCTCTACATGAGGATGAACAAAACACGCTTATAAGTAACATTACCTGTACACTAACTGACGAAGACAATGAACCCCTAAATAAGCCTTTTACTAATGAAGAAATTTTATATGCTGCCGATTCCCTTAATATAGGTAAAACACCGGGAATGGACGGTATTCCAGTGGAATTCTATCAAAGATACTGGAAAATATATGGTGATAGCTTTACTAGATTAGCAAATAATAATGCTTTTACAAAAATTGGGTTACTTTCATGGACACAAAGAACTGCACTTATAAGCTTACTACCCAAAGATGGAGACCTGACGCAAATTAAAAACTGGCGTCCGATCTCCTTATTATGTGCGGACTACAAGATAATAACAAAAGCCTTGGCCTTACGTTTGTCAAAAGTTCTGCACAAAATTCTACAGCCAACTCAAACTTGTTCAGTTCCTGGGAGAAGTATAATCTCTTTTTAACAAGAGAGATAATTGAGTATACCAATCAAAAAGACACTCAAGGATATATAATCTCAATAGATCAGGAAAAAGCTTTTGATAAGCTAGATAGAACATTTCTAATCAAAGCTCTGAACAAATATAACCTTCGGGAAAATTTTGTAAACGCCATCCAAAATGTTATGTCAAAATCGCAGTCTCCTATTCTAAACAACGGGTATATGAGCAAGCCTTTTAATGTAGATCGAGGGGTTAGTCAGGGAGACCCAATATCTCTAATGCTCTACTGTCTAGCCGTGGAAACCCTTGCTCTTGAAATAAAGAAAAACAAAAAGATTGAAGGTATAAAATTACCTGGTAAAAATAAGCATCTAAAAGTCATGCAATATGCTGATGACACCACAATATTTGCGCAAAATAAAATGTCAATAACAGAACTCTTTTCAACCTTAAAAACCTTCGAAAAAGCTACAGGATCTAACATAAATAGAATGAAAACTAAAGGTTTAGCTCTGGGAGGCTTTGACTATATATCTTATAATAGGCATGCAGATCACTTAATTCAGAGGTCAAACGACTCTGGGCTTAAAATATTAGGTGTATCATTCTAAACAGACCTTGCATATACATCTTAGTTTAATTGGAGTAAAGCGACTATAAAACTTGAAAAAAAAGTTATTTAAATTGATTAATTAAATTAAATTATTTATTATTTAATCGCAATTTTAAGTATAGAAATGTCTCCTTGAAGTGCAAGGGTCTTTTCCTAAACACATTGGCGCTCTCAAAGATATGGTTTCTTGCAAATCTATTTCCTCTAAACAAAAATTTTGAGAAAAAAATCAAAAAAACTATCTCTAAATATATTTGGCAAAGCGAATATGCTGAGCCAGTCAAACGAGAAATCTTAAATTTACCTACACAAAAAGGTGGATTAGGCATACTAAATACAAAAAAACAAAGCTAAGCATTATAATTAAAACACCTTCTTAACATTAAAGAAACAACAAACTGTCATGATGTTCTTTTCCTTCAAAAATATATCCTTGCAATACCACTATCAATCATTGCAAAAACCAACAAACAATGGGAATTTTTAACCAGAAA